TATAGAGAGAAATATTTTTAAATAAATTTGAAATGCAGTGTTTGTGAATGCAAGTTGAGAATCATTGCTTAGAAATAATACTGTTAAGTATGTAAGGAGATACGTTCATCTGTGATAAGCTAGTAACAAAGAACAAATTGTGTGACCATAAAGGTCACTTGTAATAACAAAAAACTTTAATTTCTTTAAAAAATTGTCTGCATTTAGATAATACATATCATATCATAGTTTTATATTAAACTCTTTTGGCCAACGATTCATGAAAAATGACAGAGGAAGTGTCAATAAATATCCTAACTTTAAATTGTTGGTAAGTTATATTATGAATGTAATATAGTGTCACTGGTATTAGTATGTGTTCAATTTAAATTTAAATATGTTTATAATAATTCTATATTTTGATGTAATTATTGTTTATAAATATTTTCATATGTGTAGTAAACACAATTATAATTAACATACATGTCATATAACATATTATGTATTTTAGGGGGATTCCATATGTTTCAAAAAATAGAGAAGCTCGTATGGCAGCAATTGCAAAAAAATTTACTACTGAAAATTATGATATTATTTGTTTACAAGAAGTGTGGTCTGTTAATGATTTTAAAATGATGAAAGCTATGACACAAGAACAATTACCTTATTCACATTATTTTTATAGGTATTTTATATATTACTATTATCTGTAGCTGCTTACTATAACTGTTTAAATAACGTAAAGTATTTAATGTGAAATATGTTAATATCATGATGTTAAAGTTATTTTTGGTACTAATTTTAAAATTGTATTGAAATATTTTTAAATGTATTCTAGCGGCGTTGTTGGTTCAGGAGTTTGTATTTTATCCCGATTTCCTATTAAGGATGTAATGTTTCATAAATGGCCTTTAAATGGATATGTACATAAAATACATCATGGAGATTGGTTTGGTGGCAAAGGTGTTGGACTATGTAAACTTCAAATTCATGATATGAACATTAATATTTATATTACACATGTAAGTTTATTTATCATAATCTATATATTTTATTTATGTTTTTTGACATATTAATAAGTATCTAATATGTTTAATATCTCAGTTACATGCAGAATACAGTAGACATAATGATGAATACATAGCACATAGAGTATTACAAGCTTTTGATACTGCTCAGTTTATTAGAATGACTTGTAGTGGTGCTGATTCTGCAATATTGGCAGGTGATCTTAATGCAGAACCAAAAGATTTAGCATATAGAATCATATGTGGTGTTGCTGGTTTGGTAGATGCTTGCTCAAATAATTTAAGGAATTTAGGGACCAATGAATGTGCCAATAATAGTTACACTAGTTCAAAACTTGCAAGAACTTTTCCTGAAGGAAAACGTATAGATCATATTTTATATCAGAGTACAAAGAATATAAAGGTATGTTAATTTATGTTTATAAATTTTAATATTTACTTTCGTGAGAAATTGCTTAAGTAGTACAGTTATATAATGCAACAGTATTAATAATACATTATTTATAGATAGAAGTAACTAATTTTCAACATCCTTTTCCAAAACGAGTACCCGACAAAGACTTTAGTTTTTCTGATCATGAAGCCATTATGGCAACCTTTAAATTTAGTTCTGGTAAGTTAGTAATATAATTTATTATGAAATTATATAAGCTGTACAAGTTAATAGTTATGCCTTTATTGTCATAGGTGAATTTCAACCTACAAACATAGATATTAAAGATTCGTTAAAAGAAGCTGTAAACATATGTGAAACTTCGTTAAAAAATGTTCGTCGACAACGAATTTGGTATTTATTATTAGGCTGTATATTAATTATACCACTTACTTGGTCTATGGGATTAGACTGTTCTATCACATCCCTTGGTGTAACTATTGGACTTAATATAGGTCGTATCTTTCTAACCGTAATATCGTGTTATACTTTATTTATGAGTTCTATATGGAATAGTGTAGAAACGAATGCTTTGAAAGCAGGGTATTTAGAAATGGGAATTTATTTAACAAATTTAAATAACGATTTATGTAAAAAGTGAAATTCTATACATCTTGTAAGTACGTGGTTCACAACATTAACTTCCTCTTCAAACTATTTCTTAATCATTCAGTTAAAAATATGAAACGGTATTATCACTTTTAATAAAAGTATATTTTCTTATACAATGAACCTTAGCATTTATATACATTAATATTCTTATTATCTTATCATTCTAAGACAATAACTGAAGTAAATTTTAAAGAAGCAAAATATCTTTTTTATAAAACATAATTATGTAATATGCATCACCTGTTTTATATATACAGAATTACACATAATGTTAATAATTAAATTTCACATAAATAAAAAATGAAAATTTCTTAAATATTATAAATGTTTCAAGGAAATGGACAACTTATTCATTTATTATTTTATTATTCTAACTGCATTTATTAAAATTCAATTGTTGTAAAATATGTTAGAAAATATTTCAATATGAAAATCAAGTTTATTTGGTAAAAATGTTCTCTTCTATTAATTTTAATGTTTTGCTGCAAATTACTCCACAATATAAGCAAATTTATTACTGACATCTTTTAAAGTGGTTTCTCTAAATACATTTCCTACATTGTTATATATAATTGCTATAGATTTAAATTATTCAATTTATAA